ATGAGTGTGATCCTTAAAGAGAGAACTATATACAGGGATGACATATTTGCAAGTGGTCCATGTCACAAACTCCTAACATAGAAAAGTCCATTGGGAACTGTAGAAATGGCTAAACTTCTACGACTTGGCAGGTGAGATCTGGCAGGCAAGGATAACAAGACTCCTGTGTATCAGTTTCCTGAGGCCATTGCTTGTTTATGGAAATGGGTAACCTTTTCCTTTCTCTGAAATTTTGCAGCAACCACAGAAAAAAGAAACTGCATAGATATGACCCAGAAATTGAACTTTTAGCTTTGTCTGATATAAAACAATGAATTGAGGCCCTTGGAACTCATTTTTAGCTTTAATAATTGTATACACCTCTTTGTGCTCCTGGCCACCTGCCATGTATAAAATGTAAGGGAAAATTAAGGGCCGATTAATTACAGAATGGGTAGTCTCATTCATTGTCTCTGAACTCTTTTAGGGTTAGGTCTTTGTCATAGGCAGCCTATATGTGGCAAAGGGCAAGGTTAGGTATGATTAAAAGATAATTTCAGAAATGGCTTCCGTGTGGCTTCCTTGGCCCAGCTCTTCCTGTCTCAGCCTCTGACCTGCTGCATGCCTTGGCTAACAGTATTTCATTATGTTTTTAGGAGCAAACAGAAGCAAACTATTTCTATATATTTGTTGTTTGGTACCTATAAAAAGATACTTTTAGGCTGGTTGTGGTAGCTTATGCTTATTAACACAGCACTTGGTACGCCAAGGTGAGTAGATTGATGGAGCTCACAAGTTTGAGACCAACCTGAGCAGGAGCTAGACCCCGTCTCTAAAAAATAGCTGGGAATTTTGTGTTTATCATTTCCTTGATTTGACTCTACTTTTATTTATTTTATTTTTTTATTAAATCATAGAGGTGTACATTAATGCAATCACAGGGTACAGTGTGGTGTTTTCATATACAAATTGAAATACTCTCATCAAACTGGTTAATGCAGCCTTCATGTCATTTTCTTAGTTATTAAAACATTCATACTCTGCTTTTAGAAAGATTCACTTGTACCCTTGTAAGATAAACCATAGAGGTGACCCCACCAATCACCGTCCCTCCACCCATTCACCCCCTCTCCTCTTCCGTCCCCTCTCCCTCCCCCCTTCCCATATTCTAAGGCTATAATTAGGTTATATCTTTCCTATGAAAGCTATAAATTAGTTACAAATTAGGGCTGTGTACATTGGATACTTTTTCTTTCATTCTTGAGATACTTTACTAAGAAGAACATTTTCCAGCTCCATCCATGTTGACTCTACTTTAAAGTGTTTTTTTCCCTAGGATTCTTCTTACTTTGGTGTTGTCACCTTATAGGAGCATCTAGTCAACCTTTAAAATAAATTTTAGGCCCAGGTATTGTGGCTTATGCCTATAATCCTAGCAGTTAGGGGGAGGTTGAGGCAGGGGGATCATTTGAGGCCAAGAATTTAAGCCTGGATAACATACCAAGACCTTGTCTCTACAGTAAAATAAGAAAATATAGCCAGTGTCGTGGTGTGCACCTTTAGTCCCAGCTACTTGGGAGGCTGAGATAGGGGGATCACTTAGCCCAGGAGTTTGAGGCTGCAGTGAGCTATGATCAGAGCACTGCATTCCAGCCTGGGTGACAGAGCAAGAACCTGTCTCAAAAAAAAAAAAAAGGATGTTAGACAAAAATTTAAAAAAAAATTGAGGGGAGGTAGGAGCCTCAGATGTTTGGGGGAGGCAGAAATAAAGCTGGTGCTGGCTTTGTGCACTGACCAAAGAAAAGTATATAGGCTCGGCGCCTATGGCTCAAGTGGCTAAGGCGCCAGCCACATACACCTAAGGTGACAGGTTCTAATCCCCAGCCCGGGCCTGCCAAACAACATTGATGGCTGCAACCAAAAAATAGCCGGGCATTGTGGCGGGCACCTGTGTCCCAGCTACTTGGGAGGCTGAGGCAGGAGACTCGCTTGAGCCCAGGAGTTGGGAGATTGCTGTGAGCAGTGAAGCCATGGCACTCTACCCAGGGGGACAGCTTGAGGCTCTGTCTCAAAAAAAAAACCAAAGAAAAGTATATCTATGTGTTAGACTTAAAAGTTGATTTGCCAAAGAGTTAGCAGTTAAGACATCTGGGTGATATGACCAAACTCAATTAGTATTATTTTTTGTAGGTTTTTTCCCATGTTTTTTAGTTAAAAAAAATTGTGTATAATGAAATGTGCCTTATTTTTGTATTCAGAAACACTTTTTTTTTTTTTTTGAGACAGAGTCTCACTTTGTCACCCTCAGTAGAGTGCTGTGGCATCACAGCTCATAATAACCTTAAACTCCTGGACGCAAGCGATTCTCTTGCCTTAACCTCCCAAGTAGTTGGGACTATAGGTGCCTGTCACAACTCCTGGCTGTTTTTTTGCTGCAATTGCCATTGTTGGTTAGCTGGCCCTAGCCGGTTTCAAACCCACCAGCCTTGATGCATGTGGCTGGCACCCTTAACCACTGAGCTACAGGCACTGAGCCCAAAACCCCTTTTTTTTTTTTTTTTTTTTGAGACAAGAGTCTCACTATATCGCCCTCCATAGAAGGCCACCCTGACACAGCTCACAGCAACCTCAAACTCTTGGGCTTAAGCAAGTCTCTTGCCTCAGCCTCCTATGTAGCGGGAACTACAGGTTCCCACCCCAACGCCTGGCTATTTTTTGTTACAGTTGCTTAGCTGGCCTGGGCTGGGTTCGAACTTGCCACCCTTGGTGTATGGAGCCAAGCTGCCCAGAAACACTTTTTAAAGTGATAACATAGTTGCAGGTTTTCTGTGGGAGTTGCTTATCTGCTTTGGGGGAAAGGGAGGACAGTGCCAGAGAAACTCTGAGGCCATGGGTAGGTAGAAAAGTGTTGATGAATCTAGTTTTGCATCGACAAGGGCATTGCTTTTTTGGCTGACTAGGGGCTTTGATGTAAACTATGGGGAGTGTCTTGATAGGGATTATCATCATACTTTTTTTGTATTGCCCATCTCTGAGAAGAGGTGAATATGTTTCTGGACTACAACTTCCAGTATGCCTTCTGATTGTCAAATTTTAATTAATTTCATTTCTGAGGAAGGAGCGGGTTAATGACAGGGTAAGTACTGTTAGCTAAATTCTGTAGCCTTCTAATCTGTTAAAAAGTTGTCTCTCTAGGCCAGGCACAGTATCTCATGCCAGTAATCTTAGCACTTGGGAGACTAGGATGGATGGATTGCCAGAGCTCATAGGTTGGAGACCAGTCTGAGCCCAAAGGAGACCTCATTTCTTTTTTTTTTT